CCCCAAAACCCCAAAACCCCAAAACCCCTTTTAGATAATAATTTATAAATTCGAGAAAACTTCAGAAAATGATAAGAACTAACCGTAAAGTTAGTCTGAATAGAATTGCTGCTGATAGACGGAGAACAAATTATCATGCTCTCAATAGCTCTTCACAAGGTACTTAACTTACGAATTAGGACTCAATTTAGTTGTTAACCATGCTTTTAGTCCTTTTGAATGAGAATTCAAACAGGCTTAACCGACCAGCTTTGGCTATTCCAGAAGAAAAATACGGCCAGTCACAGTCAAATAGTCTATATGGGTTTAAACAAATCAGAAGTAACAACCTGGGTGGCATCAAATCATTTAACCTCACACCTAATGAGAAATAATAGGCAAGAAAATGAAGATGATAGGATGTTGACGAACAATTTATTAGACATTCAGATGAGAAATAAGAAAAGGAGGACAAGCTTCATGGCTAAAGGCAGGTCAGGCCAAGTTTTAGGTACACGAAGGAGCCTCCATGGAGTCCAAGCAGCAGGGGTTAGGAGGTCGTTCTATGGAGGCAATTTTATGGGCAAGAGAAAGTCTATTGTTGACCAGAAGTCACAGATTGATGAAGATGAAGATAACTCCATTGGGACAGATTATTCAGATGATGATAACAAAGACCTCGAATACCGTCAACGTAATAAAAACCTATACAAGACTTTGAAATAAAATTGGTGTTTGAGTAATTCCAGATCCTCGGATTAAAACCTCTGATAATCTTCCGTATTTCTCAATATAATTCAAGAAGACATTCGTGAAAAAGAGTCAGGAAAGTACGGTCCAAGCATCACTAGAGGTAGGCGAAGGAAGAAGACCGAAAGTAGAGATTTTGATATTACTTATTTCAAATCAATGGATTTCTTCTCATTTCTAAACTCTCAGGCTATGATGAAGAAGACTCGGGTTAAGAAGTCACCCTCACTTCAGAGGCATCATAAGAATAGTCGTTACGCTGGCTTATATCTTGGCCCTAATGAAGAGAAGAATATTGAAGAGAAAATAAGCATCATTTATCAAGAAGGAAACGAACAACTGAAAAATAGCCAACATGAGAAACAACTCATGAGACTTCTGGAATCTAGTGGGACTGGAATTAGAGGCATGGAAAAGATTCCAGAATCTCAGGACTCGATGAAACTGGCAATCCGTGGAGGTGGCAGCACGGATCTAAGGAAAAATGTGCTGAAATAATCAATTAGGAGATAATAAAATCCTCAACCAAAACTTTATTGGGAGTAATATCAGCTTAGACCGAGGAGTCACTGGAGTACAACATCTCTCTTTCGCTAGACCTGAGAGATCAGCCATGAGGGGTGTTGTAATAGAGCAATTACAGCTTAATCAACTAGAAAAGAAAAATAAGAAAACTATGTCTAAAAAGGAAAGTCTATCTAAAAGTAGAAGCACAAAACTAAATGCTGCTTATACAAGGGAAAAGAGAAAATTGGAGATGGAAATGATAAAACTCAACGAAAAGCTTGGAACTACCGCTAAAATCCTTAATCTCATCAGGTACGATAAGACCCCTACTCCGATATACAAATTTGAACACTTTAATCAGAAAATTGATAAACTCAGGAGATTTTCTGATTCTAAACGGAAAAGGAGTAATAAGAAGTTAAAAACAGCGCGTGTGATTATTAACACAAAATATAACTATGATTCTGCTACGAATAGTTCTATCATCACTGAGGATCTTGACAAGACCAGTTTGGATGATGCTCTCTAAGCAGCCTAATTTTCAATTAAAATCTTCACAAAAGGGGTTTTGGGGTTTTGGGGTTTTGGGGTTTTGGGG